GCCGCCTCGAGGTCCCCAGCCCGCGGCGCGACCAGCCCAGGATGAGCGAATGCTTGCCGAGCAGGATCGCACGGAGCGGGCGCCTTCGAGCCAGCGCCGGGGCGGGGGCAGAGCCCGGGCCCGTTCCGGCAGCTCCCCGCGGTGTCCTCGCCGGGGCCGCGCGCCCCTCCTTCCCCGGCCTCTTCTCCCGGGATCTCGGCCCGGCTGAGTGACAGCAGCCTGCGCTCTAATGGGCCCCCGGATGCTGCCTCCTAATTAGCTTGGACCCTCTCCCCTAAGGCTGCTTCTCGGGCCTCCCTCTCCGCACCGCAGTCAGTTTTCCGGGACTGGGAGAGAAACGGTGGCTTCTAATCAGACGCAACGTTTCTGTTGGCTCTAGGCGGCCGAGAGCGCAGCAGGAGACCCCAAGAGCCCAGCCAGGCTCCGGGGCCTCTTCTCCCTCTCCCTTGTTTTGCACCTTCCACGGCTTGGCCAAATCGACCAGGCCCTGGCCTTGGCAGGCACGGGGCTGGCCTTGGCAGCCTCTGCCCGCCTTCAGGGTAGCTTTGCCCCAGCCTGGGGCCTGTGTCCTGGCTTCCCAGGGCTTCGGGCTCAGGCTGGGTAGGCCAGGTGACTCGCTGTCTTCCAGCCCTGGGCCGGCTGCCCGGGAAGCCCTCAGCCTCCCAGCTTCTCTCCCACACAGGGCTAGCTAAACTGCAGTTCCAAGGGGCCTTCACTGGTCCCCTCCTGCTCCCAAGAGAGATTCCCTCCTTGTGCTTCTGTGAAGTTTGTCCAGGGATTTTGCTCAACAATTGTTAACTGGCCCTGAGACCTCGGCGTCTTGAGCAAACAGGCCACAGCTGGGGCGGCAAGGCACCGCCCTGACCTGCTCCTCTGGCCACAGGTGGACCCCAGGCTGCCCTCTGCCCCTCACCTGTGACCAGCTTCACCAGACAGCAACCTAGGGAGCAACAGCAACCTAGGGAGCAGCACCCGTCAGAGCAGTGCTCTTCAGGCCCGGTGCCCCTCACCCCAGGACCCAGTGCCTCCTCGACTCCTCCTGAGGGGAGTCTCTGCTCGGCACCAACTGCAGGTGTCATGTCTGGGGCACTGGCAGGCTTGGCCTTTGAGTCCTCGCCTTGCCCCAGTCTCAAAAGGGAGACACCAGGCTCCCGGCTGAGCTCCTTGGTGAGGGCTTCAGGGGATCAGGGGCAGGCACACAGTGGGGCACCAGGCCTGCCTTCTGCTCCCTCTGCCTCAGCCCAAGGCCCCCAGCTCTGGGCCGCCGAGAGGGGACAGCTCTGTAGAGCCTGGCCCACGCTCACTGTGAGACTGTGACCACAGGAGGCAGGATCTGAGGCCAGAGGGAGGACACTTCCCAGGAGTTTGGGCTGGGGAGGCTCACTGACTCCTGCCTTCTCCTTCCAAGCTGAGATCCTCCCTCCATGACACTGGTCTGGGTCAGGGGGAGGGGGACACGGGGAAGCACAGTCGTCCAGCATCTACCCTCAGCCCCACCTTTCACCACATTTCTTGGCTGAGTCTCCTGCAGCAGCAGACACCTCCTTTCAAGGAGATATTCAGGTGCTGCAGCATGCTAGGGAGTGCCCCTTCACACACCATTCTCCCTGGAGCTGGCCTACCCCATAGAACAGCCTGGATGCAGGTGGGGCATGGGAGCGTGCACACACACATGCATCCCGCACACCCACACAGGTATGCCGTGTACACACAGACACACGCACTCACCCACATACGGGAGTGCTGAGTACAGGTACGTATGTGCTGTTTGGCATGAATGCTGACTTGTAGGGACAGGAGGTCTGTTCTAACCCAAATGTCAGGCCAAGGTGGGAAGCCCAGTATGCATCTGGGCAGAGGCATGGAAATGAACGCTCTGCCTGTGAGCGCCCAGAGGCTGAGGTCACAGCTCCCCCAGAGGGCCCAGAGTGCCAGGCCTTCCACGAATGGGGACTGTTTTGTGACTCAGCAGCTCTAGCTACTCAGTTCGAGGGGCTTGTATCCCTCAGTATTGATGCATTTAACGCAGTTATTGAGCACCTGCTGTGTGCCCCTCTGGGCCCAAGCCCCTGGCAGTGCTCCAGACAGGCACAATAGTCTCTTTATTTGGAAATCTTGGTGCCTGCTGTGTGAATGGAAAGGCCCTCAGACTGTTTGGGGTGAAGCCCCATGTCCTCAGAAACCCTGAGCTCCAAAGAGGGGCTGGGGTGACAGTCCGGAGGAGTCTGTTCTACTGGGTCCGGGTAGCACTGAATGATCAAGGGGAGAGGAGGTGATTGATTGAGAGGAGCCTGTGGCCTGATTCTGGGCATTGGCTGGAGAAGGGACCTGGACATACTCTCTA